ATTTAGACAGTGATTTCACATAACCTCATTTGCTATTCATATAAACCTTGGAAGTATTTTTTTAATATGAGGAAATTGATGCTAAAAGTGTGGGAATGAAGTGCCCCAAACGCACAATAATTAGAAAAAGACAAATCCAGTGCTTCTGATTGAAAAGTAAATGTTCCTTCCAGTATTCCACTGTGTTTCCAATACGGGCACCCAAGGGTTCCTTACTCAGAGTGGTACTGAGGACTTACTATTCAAACTCCACTGCCCAGGCTAACTCTGCCTCTGGATTGCTAGAATGCCAATCACAGTTTATACACTTTAGTTGGTAGCCTAACTTATCTCATGTGGATCAGATGCTCCCACTCATGCATGCATTCAACAAATACTCATTGAGCATCTACTACCTATTAGGCCTGTTCTAGGTCCAGGGATACACTAATGAACAAAACAAAGTCCCTGCCCCACAGAGCTTACATTTCAGTGGAGAGAGAGGGGACCAAAAAACAATAAACATACAGTATGCAAGAGGATGGTAAGTGCTATGGAGAGTAAGGGAAATAGGGAATGCTGGAGCAGGAACCACTCTTCTGTTAGATGCGTAGGGACAGACTCTCAGATAAGTAGCATTTAAGCAGAAATTGAAGGAAAGGGGACATGGCCACGTACATATCTGGGAAAGTGTTCCAAGCAGAAGGTACAGCAAGTACAAAAGCTCAGAGGTAGAAGTGGACTTTCCTTGGTTCAAGGAATCACAAAGAGAACAATATGGCCAAAGTAAGAGGAAGAAAGCACACGAGGTCAAAGAAGTGACCAGGCCAGAATGTGTAGGGCCTTGTGGACCATTACAAAGATTCTGACTTTTATTTTAAGTGATACAAGAAGCTACTGGAGGGGTATGAGCCGAGGACAGACATTATCTGTATTACGGTTTAGAAAGACTACTCTACATATTATCAAGCAGAGTGGGGAGGACATGGGGAGGTGCTAAGAAGCCCACACAGCAGGTTATTGCAACAATCCAGGCAAAAAGACAATACTGGATTGAACAAAGTAATCAGAAGAAGTGATCAGATTCTAGATAAATTCTCAAGGGAGAGCTGATAGACTTTGCTGGTAGATTTGACCTATAAGGGAAAACAAGGAGTCAAGAATGACTGTAAGAGTTTTGGCTTCTGCCACTAGAAAACTAGAGTGCCATTTACTAAGGTGGGGAAGACTACAGCAGTAACAGGTTTGGACATGTTAAGTTTGACAAGAGTAGACGGTGTATGGGTGGAGATGTCGAGTAGGTGGTTGAATATGTAAGTCAAGACAGGTCTTAACCCTGATTTCTTTCCTCTCACTTACAGATATACAGAGAAGACATTTTAACCTTTTACTGTGATACGCAAACAATTCTTGATGTTCTGTGGTGTCCAGATCAAAACAAGAGACAAGAACACTGCATACCTCTGATCCATTGTGTTGTGGAAATGCATTGTATGAGTGTCCTTTGTTATCATGACCTTTCATGTGACTTTTGAGACTGTATTGAGTGCTGAATGTTTTCTCACAGCCATTACTGGGGCAGAAGAAGGGTCTTTCACCTGTAAGAATGACAAGTAGGGTTAATTTTACCACAAAGGCATTAAGACTGGATGAAGAAACCCACCTTTCCCTAAAAGAGGAAAGTAAATATTGTTAAGAGAGTCCAGGTAACAGTTGTTAAAAGTTGAATAAATTATATGTTAATCACCTTAGTCCTAAAACTAAATGCAGTGCAAAGCACTGGGAATGGCCTGCTGCTGGTAAGTTTATAAAGAGAAGATTAGTTTTCTCACAGGCTCTTTTTAGAGTATCTCTGTATTGGTTTCATTTCTTAAGGTTGGATTCCTGAGTCCAACCTTTAGAGCCTTTCACCTCTGAAAGAAACTCAAACATTACAGGTGAAGGCTGAGCTGATTAGGCTCACTCTCTCCACCTAGCTCTGCAGGTCTCCACGGAAACACTGATAGTTATAGGCTCGAAGAGGGTTAAAATAAAAAATAAAAATTGGCCTGAACTCACCAGTATGTGTACGGACATGAGTTTTAAGGTGGTGGCTTGCTGCAAATGCTTTTCCACAGCCATCATGATCACACCTTAATAAGTTGTTTAAGCAAAGAGAAACAGAAGTCATTAGCTAACAGACCTTAATCCTCAACCTCTTGTAAATACAAACTAAAACATGTGCAGAATACTAAGATCAGATCAATATCACTGGTTTTAGAAACAGGAATGAGAAGAGGTCCTTGAAAAAGTAAGGTGGCATATCTGGGATCAAAGGGACCTGAGAGCCCAGGAGAAGTATTTCTTGTCTTAACAGGTAAGGCCCATGTTGAGAGCTCTGACAATAAAAGCCTTTTGATGAATTACTTAACAGGACTCTATTGACAGTGAGAGTCCACATGGAAAACCTACTGCCAGTGGAGTATTATTAGGACTATCGAGAGTGGGTAAGGTGGCTCTCAAGTATGTAAGGGGCTTGAAACATAATATTAGAACAAAATCAGTGAAAACAGCTAGGCTGGAATAACTCATCTTGTGGGTTAAGATTTACTTCTTTCTCTTTTACTGTCTTGATTACCAAAGCTAGAAGAAATCTTTCCCTCCTCAGAACTCCTAAGGCATTTATCTAACGTGCTTCTTCCACGGCACCTCTCATTTCCAATCTTAGTTTATCTCTGTGTATACATTTGTTATCTGCTCTCCTAGGTTGTCAACTCTTTGAAAGTAGGGTCCACATGGCTCTTTACACCTGCTGTAGTTCTTGGGCATAGCAGGCATTCCATAATTATTTACATGAATGAATATATGTTCTTATAAACCAAAATATTTTATTTCTTTAAATAGAAAGTTTCTCTAAAGCATTTTCATTTTTAATTATGTATAATCATCATCATGTCTAAAGTCTCATCTAATATTAAAAAAAAAAGCTAGCACTTGTAATCATCATAAAAATAAATGCATGTGCCTGAATAAAAATCAGAGTCCCCTCAGCAGCCTGTGGGGGAAAAAAATAACCTAAGCTTTACAGCAGCTACAGAGTAACCAACTACAATTTTAACTACTCTTGCCCTTAAAGGGGCCATGGCTCAGGAATACATCCGTAACTTAAAAACAATTTCATTTAATTGGTGTCTAAGAGTTGACTGCTTCTGAAGACTTTTAAATTGTTTCTAAGTATCCTAAGGGGATAAGTGACTTGAGAATGGACAGGCAGCATATTTAATGCCTTGAATATAAGAGTGATATCTTCTGCAAAATTCAAAGACATTGTTTATGGGCAATTTTTAGCAATACATCTATCTATATTACATTTAGGGGATCCTTATAAACTGATTATCTCATTTAAAATGTTGGCCAGGCGTGGTGGCTTATGCCTGTAATCCTAGCACTCTGGGAGGCCGAGGTGGGAGGATCGCTTGAGGTCAGGAGTTTGAGGTTACAGTGAGCTATGATGATGCCACTACCCTCTAGGTAGGGTGACAGAGTGAGACTCTGCCTCAAAAAAAAAAAAAAAAAGAAGGAAAAAAAGTCATATAATCATTCCAAAGCTGTTTTTGAACACCTACTGAATGCCCAGAACCATAATATATGCTACGAGTAAAGGAGAAATTAGATGATACGAGTCCCTCCTTCAAGCTTATAGTATATTGAATACATATGTATATATGTTGACATATATAAATAAAAACTGATGCTCCTATATGTTTGTGCATATGCACATAAGATATTACAAAACAACAACTGGACAAGTGTAACAAAATAAAATACCTGCACTACTAACTTAAGCATTCCTATCCTCATTTCCCCTTTTGTCTCCTCTCCCCCTCCCACCTCCATTCTTAGGTAGGTATCCCTCCTCTGTGCTCAGGGCACTTTGGCCATCTCGCAGCCTCAGATACTACTAACTTGTGGTTCTTTCCTACCAGACTAAGGTTCTCAAATTGAGAGCCTGCTTCTGAGTATTTCTCACTAACAGCACTAACAGAAGTACCTACCACATACACAAGTTTCAACAAATGCTTCCTGAAAATAAAGGGAAAAAATGAGACAGAAAGGCCATCATCCGCATAGTAAGGATGCTCCTGGAATCCATCGGCACTTCTCTAACGGCGGCAATTGGTTATGGCTACCCTGGGGCGAGCTAACGCTGCCAAAGAAAGAACTAGAGAAGGCAGTTTTCTTTCTCTTTTGACAAATTTCTGAGTATATCAAGACACCCAGCTGAAACCTGGTCAGGAATAAATAGAAAACAGTAAGATGTACCGAAATGGCTTTTCTCCTGTATGGGTTCGAATGTGCTTCCTCAGATCACTGAGTGTGGTGAAGTATTTGCTGCAGCCTTCAGATTCACAGTTAAACGTTTTCCCTGTGTGAAGCCTCTGATGTGCTTTCAGCCTGCAAAATATCCCAGAAAAATCCCCTTTGTCAAAAAGTACCACAGAGCCTCCCCATGCCAGCCTAATGTGCTTCAGGATCAAGTGCATAAGAATTCTGTATCTGTAACTTAATTAGCATCCAAAATTTCTTGCCCAAAGAAATTCAGAGAAGCAAATAGCATGGTGGGGTGGGTGTCACTCTGGAGACAGACTGACCAGGATTCAAAACCTGGCCGCACATCCTACTTGGATGGGGGACCTTGTGCCAGTTACAGAATCTCTCTGTGCTTCCATTTACCTATCAGCTACTGTGAGGATTAGCACTTAGAATTGTGCCTGCCCACACTGAGTGCTTTTTAAATGTTAGCTGTTGTTATTTCTGTTATTTTATACCCAATACTGAAGACTAATATAAAAGTCTCATACAAATGTAGAAAAGAGAAATGGCTATTGAGTGGGCCACTCCCCATTTCTCAGGGTAGAAAAAAGTTATCTTCAAGGTGAGGTAGGAAAGGAAGTTACAAAAGCTTTAGTATGAACATCCTGAGCTGAAGGGAGATACTACTCTATGCCAAATCCCCACTAAAATGCCCAGGCCAGAATGCACTCCCTGAGAGGCAAATCTAAACACAGATGTATTGTCACTTCTAACCCACCCAAGACAAGTCCACCTTTAAGAAACAAGTTCCTTTAATGCATTTAAATAGTTGAGCACAGCTATGCTCTTTGAAGTCCTGAAAGTGAATTTCTCTCCTGTGCAAGGAGAAAGCGCTCTGCAGTCACGACAGGGTCACAGTCAGAGGCTGGCAGAGCAGCGGAGAGGCCAACCTGTACAGTGTGTTGAATGCCTTCTCACAGCCCTGCACGTCGCACTCAAATGGCTTCTCCTTCGTGTGCACTCGCACGTGGATCCTGAGGCTGTAAGAGGTAAGGAAGGCCTTGCCACAGCCCTCCTGATTACAGACAAAGGTGTACTCTCCTCGGTGAGTCTTCTGGTGGGTACGCAGGTTGCCTGCTGTGCTGTAGGTGCGGGGACAGCCCTCAAAGGTGCACTGGTACCGCTTTACCTGGCAGACAGAGGACACCTCATCAATAAGACAAAAGAGCTGCTCAAGGCTTAACTCCCCGCTTCCAACCCCCCAGAGCTCAGTTCCCAGGAGATGTGGATAATACACATAGGTTTTCATCCAAAACACACAAAACAGGGAAATTTCCTGTTGATCAAATCACACCTGGACAACACACAAATGAGTGAGGAGGAAGAGATAAGCTTGTATGTAGCTTATAAATACCTTATAGGGTATTTTCAGGTTCTAATATATATCTATCACCGAAAGGTGGACATACACTGTTACAGTTAACTGTATTCAAATAAAATCTTAACTTTGTCGTAAGGCATGATTAAACACCTTGCCCTCTGGTACTATAACCATATTAGAAATGACCGATGTTAAATTGAGTCTAAAACATCCCGAAATTTATATACTTAATCATCAAACAGTATTTCCATAGATAGTTTCCACTGCATATTTTCAAGTCTTCAAAATGACAACAATGTACTGTGAATTTCTTGGAATATTCAGTGGTATGACATTTCTCAAACTATCAGCCTTTTTTGTTTCCTTTCACTACCATACTTTTTCAAAAAGTAGTCGACATGTGTGCCTCCATTTCCCTCAATGCCTATGTATTTCTTAACCACTTGGCAAGGTGGCTTCACTGTATAAAATTATTCTCTTAAACTTCCTGATGTTCAAACTCTTTCATCCTGCCCTACTTTCCTTGACAATGTGCAAAGGTATCTCTGATGATACCCTCCCCTTCTGAAAACATGTCCTTCACAACACAGTCATGACTTGGGGCACTCTTTATCTCCTTCTCTGAGACACTCCCTTCCCTTGAACTTTAGATGTAGGTGTACTCCAAAACTTGTCTCTCCCAAACCTTCCCATATCTATACTGATGCAGTGGAAGTAGCATCAGATTTGGCAGCAGAAGACTGAATTCTGGCACTTATGTTCAATATAGTTCTTATGTTGAATTATGTTATTGTTTGAGACTTTGAGCAAATCACTTCACTTCTTTGAGCTTTGAGTTCTTGATTTCTAAAATGCAAATATTAATGCCTGCTCTGCCTCTCTCACAGTGCTTTTGGGTGGGACAAAGTGAGATAAAACATTTGTGAAAATACTTTGTAAATCATTTGATGCAATACATATCAAGGTACTAGCATTATCTACTTTAGCTTTTCTTCCCATTCATTCATTCATTTAGAAACAGGGTCTCTACCTTTTGCCTAAGCTACTAGAGTGCAGTGGTACTGAGGCTACTGAGCTACTGAGCGTATCTCACTACAGCCTCAAACTCCTCGGCTCACTTGATCCTCCTGCCTCAGTATCCTGAGTAGCTGGCACTACAGGCATGCGCTGCCATGCCAGCTAATTTTTCTTATTTCTTGCAGAGACAGAGTCTCACTATTGCACAGGCTGGTCTTGAACTCCCGGCCTCAAGTGATCCTCCCACCTTGGCCTCCCAAAGTGCTGGGATTACAGGTGTGAGCCACCATTCCTACTCTCTAGCTTTAACCAACATCCTCATGTGCATAAATGTTTAATCCTAACCTTTCTCCAAAGTATTACTTTGTATCTCCAACTATATTATTGCTACTAGAATATTGAACAGTTACTAAACTGTTACGTCTGAGGCAATATTCTAGATACCATGGATAAAAAAGTGAACAAGACAAAAATCTCTGCCTTTAAGGAGCACCACTTGTAAGGAGGCTGATGTGTACAAACTATTATACACTGCACTGAGCTCTACAACAAATACGTGCACAGGGTGCTTTGGGAACAGGAAACCCCTCTCAGAGTGGAAATCAGTGAAGGCCTAGAAGCTAAAGAACTCTCTCTGACTTGAGGATGTTTTCTGCTTGTTTATTTTTTAGGGATGAGCTACAAAGGTATTCCTCAGGCAAACCAGGAAGAAAAGGGCATTCCAGAAAAGAGGAATAGCATAGGAACTACACGGAGAGAAAAATAATAAGAGTTCTGGTATAGTGAACCACAAACATCTGTAGTATGTGAGAGATTAGAAGGAGAAGAGTATAGAAAAATAAGGTAACACCCCCTTAGTTATGCTATGGAGTAGAGGATTAGGACAATGGGAGCTACCGACAGGTTTTAACCAAGATAGCAACACAATCACGTTTGGGGTTTAGGAGAGATCAGTCTGGTAGTCTTGTAGAGGATGTACTGGAAGGTTAGAGAGAAGTGATAGAAATTAAGGGAAGGGGGACAACAGTACAGGAGAGAGAAGAGAAGATTCTGAACAAGGGAAGTGACAGTGGACATCATGAGATGAATTTCAGAGAACTCAAGGGGAAAGGAGTGACTGGCTGCGGTGACAACTGGGTGCTGAGCAGCGGGAGGGGTGGAAAAGAGGCGAAGCTAAGATCAACCCCCAAGATTAGGGCCTGGATGAATAGACAGAGGGTCACACTACCAATCTGGGGCTGGATAGGGGTGGCAGTGAGATGATGAGTTGGGCTGAGGTGCTGCTAGGACTTCCAGGTGGAAATGTTTAGGTGACAGTGGGGGTCTTACAGTCTGGAAGCTAAAAAGAAAGTCTGTGGCAGGAGCCTTTAGTGCCCAGATAATAGCTGACTTTACTTGTATACTAAATAAAGATCAGGTTCAAGTCCCAGCTCTGCCACTTATTATGTAACCTTAGGAAAATACTTAAACTCACTAAGCCTCAATTTCCTTATTTACATGATGGAAACAAAACCTATCTTTTTAGGGTTGTTGCAATGATTAGGAATAATTTGTGTAAAGCATTTTAAT